GAACCGCTGCCCACAAGCGCAGGCATGATTACTCAGTGTCAAAACAAAGAGATAGTGTCAGAAATCTGAATTTCTCAAAAACAAAGAGACTAAAAGTGACAAACAGGCCATTAAAACTTCTGCCTGTACCTCCGCTGTGGACCTCAAACCCCAAATGGAGCTAATGGTGTGCCATGGTGTGCCAAGCTGTGGCTTCCTGCCCTCCTCACCCTGCAAGCCACAACACCAAGTCCGAGACCGTTCGAGTGAGTACTGGCTGGACTATTGTGTTGGCTACTTTTAATTTCACTGCAGAAGATCTGAAGTGTGTGTGCGTGCACTGCCCAGCACATAACGCCTGTCTCTGTGAGAAGGCTGTATTTCTCTCCTGGGTGATAATAATAATCGATATGATGTTGATTTACACTGATGACAGTATGTGTTTTGATTGTGGACTGGATGTTTGTTATGTGTTGCAATTGTTTTGCACGTATGTGTAAATAGGCTTGGTTTGCTGTGTGAACTTTAGTGTCGGATCAGACACATTCCGTGGTCTTAGACCTGCTTTACATGTGCTGTTAATTCACAAGTGAAGTTGCCAACTGTGTTCCAAAATGGTGGTTGTTCCTGAATGCTTATGCTTGAACAAATTTAACCTTGCACTCATTCCAGGAGCTAATCTCTTTCTCATGTCAGGCTGGAGGGATCTAAATAGCAGAATGACTCCATGTTATTCTCAAGTTCTTGGAAGTCCTTTTGCACAGTGTTTGTTTTGTGTAAGGTTGCATTAAATGAGAGCAGACGTAACAGCAGCGCTATGATACCTGACACTGGGGCTGGGTGCTTTTACATGTTTGTTGTCAAATGTCTCTACAAAGTCTTTCCTTGCGTGTGTGAAAATTCTCCCAGGTCTCTGTGCCAAATATTCCTGTCCAGGCCACTCGTTTACATTTGCAGTGTGTAGTTTTATTTTAAGTGTTAACTGGTAGGAAACTCTGCCATATAACTGGAAGGCTCTTAGAGAATATTTCACAAAATCTTCACACTGCAACAATTGTGGAAGGTTTGTTTATTTTATGTTATTGGTGGAAATCTATTGATCTCAGCAGTATTAATGAAAGCTGTGCTTCTCATTTAATTACTGCCAGGCAGTTACTTAAGTAATGATCACTTATGGGATTCAATACCCTAAATGCCATTTAGTATCCAATTATCATGATAGCATATTGTAGGTAGGACAAATGTTATAAACATCATTTCCTGCCATCTAACCTTTGAAGTGCACTAACTGAAGATGCACTCCACACAACACAAAAAATAATAATAAATAAAAAATAGAAAGCACAGAGAAATTAAAATTAAAGTTAAAAGTTTCTCTTACAATTTTACAAGAATGTCACAACTTCTTATTGTGGTCATAGACTATACAAGGTGATGAGCAAATCAGGAAAGTTGTCAGCTTCATAAAACTGGCCGTAGTGTCAGTAGACCGTCAGCCTACAGGTATGTGCCAAAAAATTAGAATATCGAGGGAATCTCCATTTATTTCAATAATTTGTTTCAAAAAGTGAAACTTGTATGTTATATTAGTTCACTACACACAAAGTGAAATATTTCAAGCCTTTATTTGTTTCAATTTTGATGATTATGGATTAAAGACAAAAAAAACCCCAAATCCAGTATTTCACAAAATTAGAATATTTCATGTGACCAATAAAAAAAGGATCTTAAACACATGTTGGCCTTCTGAAAAGTGTGTTAATGTACTGTATTATGTCCTCAGTACTTTGTTGGGCCTCCTTTTGCATTAATTACTGCATCAAGGCGGC